TTCCAGCCCCGGGTTTTTACTAGAGAATTCCAACAACTGACAGTTGGCAACTCAAGAGATACAAAATATTAATTTAGTAAATAGTGATATTAACAATGAATTAATAAACAGTAAAAATCTCACAAATGTATGACCAAGTGTTATTGACGAGTCAAAAGAAGAAGTTAATAATTGGGAAGAAGAGTTAATGATGAATTTGATCAGTATGAAAAAGTTAAAGGAAGACAACAATAAAACCTTGTATGGGAAATTCAAGAATATATAAAAATGAGATTTATGGATTAGCATTGGTAGATACTGGGAATTTAGTGACAAGTACTTTAGAGTCCAAAGAATTCTGGGAAACAGTGAAGGGAATAATGTCTGGAACAAACAATGCAAGAGTGGGCACGGTGGAGAAAGGAGGAAAAGGACTGAAAGTGTTAGGGAAAGGAGAAACATTTAAATTCTATCTCGACGGACTAGACCAGTTATTTGAAGTAGAACCCATAGTGATAGAAGGGCTGAATCATGCTGTAAATTTGGGGTAAATTCCTAAAACAATACGACATAGAGGACGTAAGGTCAAAATCTAATGAAACGCATAAATTAACTTCCAGTATATTAAATTTCTTATAACTTATTACTAGAGGGTTCAGAACATGAGATGATATCGATATCACATGTGTAGACTGTAAGTACAATGCCCCGTATCCGTTCTATCTCATTCCGTTGAATCTTGTGGGACTTGTTTAAGGCGGCCAGGCATCGTCTTCCACAACGAGGTTATTTTTTTTTATGTGCAAAGGAAGGAGCAAAATCAAGAGCCGGGAAAGGAAATCAAGAAAGGTTAACCAGGTTATGCAGTGTCAAAGGATCCCTGTTCACATTTATGCACAAGAATAAGAGAATATACAATCAAGAGAAGAAGAAGTATGTGCAAGTAATCCCTTCATGCTGAAAAGAAGATAAGGAAACCTCAAGCAAATCTCAGAGCATTAACCATGCACAGGAACCAGAAGTAGTACTGAAATGGAAGTAAAGGAGATGAAACTATGGTTTGGAGAGAAAGTGTTCATTCCTGCAGGAAGCGCAAAATTAGTGAAAGTCAGAGAAGATGGAGATTGGAGAGGAGAGGGTTTTGTAGATTCCATGCTACCAGAAGAGCAAAACCCAGGAACCTTCTATCATTTGTCAGGCAAGGAACCATTAATCTTTGTGGAGAACCACTCCTACGAGGGAGTAGAAGTAAGTATGAAAAAAAGGTTAGGAACAATTCATAGCTTGGACATTGACAAGAAAGCCTGGTTGAAAGATCAGTTAAGAGGAAGAAGTGAAACAGAAGTAGGGAAGGATGCTGAGGAAAACTTATCAGAAAATGTTTATGGAATGAAAGAATCTGACTATCCCACAGAAAAGAGTAAGAGGAAATTTATTAGTGAAAGTTTCAAGATAAATGATAACAAGATATTGAACAAGGATGAGAACTTAATGAAGGAGGAAGTGATAAAAACGTTTATTGACAATTTTTTGGCTCTGGCGTTACTTAATAATCATGACGGGAAAACCGATCTAGTAGAGTTAAAACTAAATCTAGAACCAGGAACAGTTCCAAAGAGATCTAAAGTGAGACTGTTGAACCCAGATCAGAAGAGAAACTTGAAGGATCAAATAGATGAGTGGATAGAGAAAGGTGCCATTGAACCTGCTAATAGTCCATGGGCTTCACCATGTGTGCCTGTTAAGAAGACAAATGAAAGGACATTTAGAGCCTGAGATTTAGTCCTGTTTGATTGCTATAAAGAATAGACCTGGAAAGATATGTCGAGTAAATAATTATGGAGTAAGGCATTTGCTACAGGTCTCCTATTCAAAGATTTTTAAAAGAATTCAAATTATAATTTTTTTACGTTTTATTCGACAGAATAGATAAAATTGCACATTTCAATGATAGACTTGAGAATTTTTAAAAATAAAAGAAAAAAAGATTTGAAAATCTTTTGAATTTTTTAAAAAACATTTTGAGTACATTTTGATGGCTAAAACGGAATTATATAGTAAAATGTTTCAACGATGACTCATCAATTTATGGACATTGTGCATACAGGTCACACATTGTAGTAAAATAAAACAACGTTTAGTGGGTGAAAACGCAATTAATATCTTTGGAAATGAGACTAGGCACATTTTTGAATATTATGCTTAACNATTTATAGATATTGTACCTACTAGAAGCACTTTTCAGCACATTTAAACACTATATAGTAGTCTAAAAAGCCTAAACCAACTTTTTTCAGAGACACCCTGTAGATTTTTATATTTTATTGCTGATATTTCACTGAACTGCCCCTCTCAGATATCATTTAACTAAAACAGAGAAAATACTAAGTTTAAATTATTTTGAACTATTCACTCCTTCAGGAGGCATTTTCACAGGTTTAAAGATTCAAAGTGTACAATTTTCATTTAAAGGGGCGACTAGAAATTACATTTTACTGAACACCCCACTACCATACATAGTATAAACTTGAAGAGGACACTTAAAGAGAAGGACTCAATAAAAGAACTCAATATATATAACAAGCCAGATTGAAACGATTAAAGCAATATCTTTTGCACAGACATTTATTTTACATGATTATATAAAAAATACAAACTGAGGATCAACCGGAGTTAATCCTAGAATCATAGATGGACTTATTTCTCCTCCTGGAGATATAGGAGGTGTTATCGACCACTCTCCTCTACTGCTTCATCAAGACTAATTTCTCTTATGGGGAACAAGATGGACGCCTAGTCGGCTTTCTCTGCCGACGAAATTACCGTTATCTTATTCCTCTAGATAAGGGTCATGAGGGTTCGAATCTCGTTGCTCTGGAAAGTTTGTTTATCCTCCTTGGTAACAGACCGAGTAACGGGTTAAACTGTTAAAATCAATATTGTTTGTTTGTCAGTTCTCAACTCATGATAGCTTGGGTTGACTGAACTGTCTCCAATCATATATACATGGTGGGTTTACAATAGCATCCTTTAGGAAGAGTATTCAATAGCTTAAAGATCCAGAATGCACCATTATTATCAGAAGGGGCGCCTAGAAACTAGAAATTCTTGGACTTCATTTGCCAACCCCCCCCCCCAAAAAAAAAAAATATTTCAAATTAATCAAATCTAGGGGGTGTTATGTGATAGTTTTCCCTTGGACGCCCCTAAAAAAGTATTTAATAAATCGTTTCAAAGAAATATAAAATAGTTCAGTAATTCTATCTGCCTGTCCTTATTTGATTTTGCATTGGAACTGTTTTTTCTTCATTTTCAAAAGTCTGATGGGGATCAAACGGCCCCCCTGACGGCTGGCTTTAAAGCCCCTGAACCATATAGGGCTCATTCTGCGAACTGAATCTGTCCTTGTTAGGCTTTTTAGTCCTGGACTAATATTCTGACAGACCTAAGATATATCGGTAATAAAATATATATATAAAAATACCGGTTTTGGGGAACACGCACACCTTTCTACGCCCCTGATGAAAAAAAAGAATTTGAAAATTATTCCTGTCCTTTATGGATTGAAAGAATATATTTATTTCTATTATTACAAACTCCAGGAGACATTAAAAAATTTAAAAATATTTAGAAAGGTTTAAACAATTCTTTCCCTTATATTAATTACTTTCCATTTGTATTATATACAATATACATCCATACTTTACTATTTTTAATTTTGCTTCTAATCACAAGTGACTTCTACTTTCATTCATCTGCACTTACCTTCTATTGATAATAGATCTTCCTTGTTTCTTGTTCTCTTCTTCTTCTAGATTTCTATCCTTCTCCTTCCAACCTCTTGTATTGTCCGATCTATATATATTGACAATATTTTAAAGATTCTTTTCTTTATTATCTTCTGATCAAATTACAATGTATTTCCGACGTTCAAAAGCATCCTTCCTCGCAAGTATTTCTTATTTAAAAAGGCAAATTAACTTCCTTGAGGGAAGTTTACATGCAGTACACGATAAATTACATGAAGTTCCATGTCTTAACTATTTACATAATTAAACATAAGGTAATTTGAGGGTTAATTAAAAATATACTTTTCCCTTTACTAATTTACACTAATCTATATACCCTTTTAAAGTTTTATTATATATTTTGAAGAATCATATTTCACCTGGAGGACATCATTTGTCCAACATGATTTATGTCTCCACTCTTAGTCTCAGCTGCCTGCATATGTTTTCAATATGTTTCCATGCTGTTCATGTGCTACTTGTGTATGTAAGAATGTACATCCTCCTCCATTTCTACAGTAACCCTGTATGTAAAATTTACAGGGTTTACTCATTTTCTGAAAATAATAAATTATTACATTTTTACAGTCAACGTACCTTGTAAGCATTTAAACTCACTGTTACAAATGTTATACATTTAAACTCACTGTTACAAATGTTATAATTTCCTTATCAGTCTTAAGTTTATCTATCGAACAACTCCCATTGATTCCACTGAACTGTTTGTAAATTGTTAAGCTTTTCAGGGTACTTAAAATTATTTAAAATTTTAGCTTAATTGTTACCAAGTCTGATAATCGAGATCAAGAAAATCTGAAATATGGAAAAATGTGGAAAAAGGAGGAAAAAATAGGGATCTGAAAAACCTAAAACTTTTTTCTGATGTTAGGAATGAGATTCTTGACTAACAAGCAGGTGTGTAAAGCACCTAGCTGGTATTTGTCTCAGACTTTTTGGTGAAAAGGCTTTAAAAAACATGGAAAAATGTGGAAAAAAGGGGAAAAAAATATTTTTTTCCACTTTTTATTTTTCTTACTTAAAACAAATACAAATGATGCCCATATGCAAAATATCATTCAGATTCTTAGAAAAATGAATCCATGAATCCAGAATTTCTGCTATATCCAGGGATCTAAGTGTACTTCCACAAAGCTGTAGTATCTGCAGCAGTCCCTTATTTGTGAATTTTTCACAGCTACTCATGATCAGGTTCTCTAAACAAGGCAGGATTACCTTGTATTCAGACAGATTCTCTCCAGTTACTTTTGTTACTGATATATCCAGGGATCTAAGTGTACTTCCACAAAGCTGAAGTATCTGCAGCACTCCTTTGTTTGTGAAATGATAACACTCACTCATGTTCAGGTTCTCTAAACAAGGCAGGGTTCCCTTGTACTCAGACAGATTCTCTCCAGTTATATTTGTATTTGATATATCCAGGGATCTTAGTGTACTTCCACAAAGCTGAAGTATCTGCAGCAGTCCCTTGTTTGTGAGTTGTTTACAGTAACTCATGTTCAGGTTCTCTAAACAAGGCAGGGTTCCCTTGTATTTAATGAATATTTCACCAGTAATAATCGAATTCCTCAAGGTCAAAGATTTTAGAGTACTCCCACACTGTTCCAATATTTGTAGAAACCAGTAATTATTTAGACTTCTATCATCATCAACACAAATCAGTTGTAGAGTTTGGAGTTGTTTTGAAACTATGTTCACATTTATTCCAGAAATAAATTCAATGCTTCTTACTATAATCAAGGTAGACAAGGATGGAAGGGAGAATATTTTATTTAATCCAGTTGATGTAAATTCACTTGTTTCCCACTCCCAGTAATTTTCTTTTCCAAGTTGAAACATGAGAATTTCAGGATGTTTCTTCACAAGATACTCAACGCCATCATCTCTAGCATCTTCTGCTTCAAAACCTGGAAATGTAAAAAAGTAAGTGTAGTAAGAAATTTGTTTAGAAAATTTAATTATTAAAAATTGATGAAAAGTCTAAAATGTATCTCATTTTTAATAACAGGTTGTAAGTAGTAAAAATATTGTTATATTTAAAATTCGGTGTAGAGTAAAAAAGTAGATGTAAGTTCCACATTTATTGAAAATATATTTCAGTCTGGGTTGACCCTCGTCAGTTCTAACGATAAAATAACCATCAAAATCAATAAATTAAAAAAAAATTTGTAAAAAACCACAAGAAAATTAACAAACAAACAATATTTCCTCGAGTTATATAGCTATTTTAATGTATTAATTACCTAATACTGTTTCAACTTCATCAGCAAACTTGATGAGTTGAGCTCTTGTAAACTCTGTATTAAACCTCCAGTAATGAACTAGTTTATCCCCACATCCTTCAACCCTGTTCTTGAGAGCAGAGGACACTCCCCTCAGCATCTTTTTACTTCTGTAATCCAGGAACTGCAAAATGTATATCACAGAATGTTGAAAGGAGAGAGAATTATTATATTATTACTCAAATTATTTTAAATATCGCTGATATTGATGATTAGACAGAGGTTAAAAGGTTCCCATATGCTTATCAGACATGCTGATTTAGAAATAGAAGGATACTTAAAATTACGTCGACAGATCCTTTAAGTCCATTAAAGTAAGAAAAGTCTGTACCTGAAGAATATGCCTGATTATGTCAGTACACATGTTGTCCAGTGCAGGAACCCTTGCTAGGGTTAGTACACTCATCAGAGGGAGAAGAGAAGTTACCATTCTTCCATTATCTCGGTTTCCTTTAGGTTTATATTTACCTAAACCTTTTTTTCTTATTTTTGAACTTGCACTTTTTTCTGTCTTGCACTCTTTCTCTTCATATTTTTCCTTTCCAACTGTTTTGGGAATCTTCCCTATTTTTTCTACATCAACTTGACGTTTTCTGCAACAAGCACCAATTTCAGTTTCTCTGTCAATCTGATCAGCCCCTGGTGATCTTTCTTCCTCTCCATATCCCAGTTCTTGCAGTATTTTTGATGCATCAAAAGAAAAGCCACCAAAGAACTTGATATAACCATTGTTTACCAGATCTAGTGTAATTTTTGATGCATAAGAACCAGAGAAGCCAAAGCGGATCTTTAGGAATTCTATTGTGGGATTTTCTCCAGGCTGGCAAGTTCTAAACTCTTGTTTGAGGATAGATTTAAGAACTCTCCTCTTATTCAGTTTAAACACAAACTCCTGTTTATCTTTGTATGATCTTTTTTCTTTTTTAAAATGTTCATCAATAACAACATTTCCGCAAATATTTCCACAGTCTACTGCACAATGTATACATGTGTGTTTTGCTTCTAAGTTTACACCATAGCAAATGCTGTGTGAATAGTTTCCACAGGATAAACATTTAACCATCTCTGGGTCCCAGGTTTGATACAGGCAGATGCAAGAGATAATTCCAACCTTCGTTTTTCCTGTGGTTTCGTCTTCTGATCCCTCCTCAGAGGATGAATATTTGTTTCTCCTTTCCTTCTCTACATCCAATCTATTGGAACAATTAATTATTCTAGTATTTTAGATATAAAGGACCTCATTAGTCTCCTGGAGTTTGAAATAACTCTTGTAATAATAGAGATAAATGGTTCTAAATTTGCACCTATATTCTTTCAATCCATAAGGGACAAGACAAATTTTCAAATCTTTTAATTTTCATCAGGGGCGTAGTAAGGGGGTGAGTGTGCCCCAAAACAGGTATTTATATATTACTATTTTTTTAAATTTTTAGCTAACATATATTTATACATATATACATACATACATACATACACCCATACATACATACACACATACATACAAATATATATATATAAGCAAAGAGCTTTATTAAATACAGGGTGGAGCTAGACAAGAGATAGTAATGTTGCAACAGACAGTAGAAGGGATAGCGTTTGGTATGTATACATTGCCAGAGTTCTTTACAGAGTTATTGAAGAAATTTTCTAAAGAAAAGATGAGGAAGGCAGGAGACAAGAATACACTGCCAGAAGACAAACAAGGACCCTAGGAGATATTATACTGACAAGCTAAGGTTATAGTCCAAGCATACCCAGGAAACATTTTTACCGACTTTATGTGCCAATGGCGAAGTTGTCGGGTAAATATTTCTGGACTTCAAATGTTCGCCATCAGTTTGTCTGAGACTAAATGTTTGCAGGGTATGCTCCAGCAAAAAGAATGTTATCAGAGTTCAAGAATCAAGTAATTTTAGGGTTGTACCATCCAGAACTGTGGAGAGCGTGTTTATTGTTTATGCCTAAAGTACTGAGAAATGAAAATGAGATTAAAGAAGTATTGGCGCATCAGCTGTGCAAACTAAGAACAATCAATATGGATCCCAGAGCAAGTTCCCTCCCACAATATGGCGGGATTAACAAGTTCATTTAATTTTGATGAAGAAGAAAGAAACAAGAAGTTAAATGATATGTGGAGAACTGGACAAGTTCCTATGGAAATAAACGAGATGCCAGGATTAGGGATTAGTGTCTAACGAATCAGACTACAAAGATGTCAACGCCATGCTACATGAGAATAGCTGTGTTTTTTGTTCTGCAAAAGGACAGGTCATATGAAAAGAGATTGTCAAAAATTTATGGAATGGGGTAACGGAAATCCAGAGAAATATGCAGAATGGAATGAGAAGAACCCCATCAAGATGTACGAGAATAACAGACATAAGGGAAATAGCCAGCAAACTGGAAATAACAACAGGAGAAATGATAATATTTCCTGTTATCATTGCAGGAAATCAGGACATGTGGCAAGAGAGTGCAGAAAACTAAGGAAAGAAGGAAACCAAGGAAAAGGGAGAATGGGAGAAAAATATGTTAGAATTGGCGCTTCAACTAGCAAAGGTGAACTCATGGTTTCCAGCCCCGGATTTTCACTAAAGAATTCCAACAACTGACATTTGGCAATTCAGGAGATACAAAAAATTAATTTAGTAAATAGTGATATTAACAATGAATTAATAAACAGTAAAAATCTCACAAATTTCCGACCTAGTGTTATTGACGAGTCAAAAGAAGAAGTTAATAATTGGGAAGAAGAGTTAATGATGAATTTGATCAGTATGAAAAAGTTAAAGGAAGACGACAATAAAACCTTGTATGCGAAATTCAAGAAATATAAAAATAAGATTTATGGACTAGCATTGGTAGATACTGGGAATTTAGTGACAAGTACTTTAGTGTCCAAAGAATTGTGGGAAACATGAAGGGAAAAATGTCAGGAACAAGCAATGCGGAAGTGGCCACAGTGGAGAAAGGAGGAAAAGGACTGAAAGTGTTAGGGAAAGGAGAAACATTTAAATTCTACCTCGACGGACTAGACCAGTTATTTGAAGTAGAACCTATAGTGATAGAAGGGTTGAATCATGCCGTAAATTTGGGATTATTATTCCTAAAACAATAAGAGGTTATTTTTTCATGTGCAAAGGAAGGAGCAAAATCAAGAACCGGGAAAGGAAATCAAGAAAGGTTAACCAGGTTATGCAGTGTCAAAGGATCCCTGTTCCCATTTATGCACAAGAATAAAAGAATATACAACCAAGAGAAGAAGAAGTATGTGCAAGTAATCCGTTCATGCTGAAAAGAAGATAAGGAAACCTCAAGCAAATCTCAGAGCATTAACCATTTACAGGAACCAGAAGTAGTACCGGAATGGAAGTAAAGGAGATGAAACTATTGGAGAGAAAGTGTTCATTCCTGCAGGAAGCGCAAAATTAGTGAAAGTCAGAGTAGAAGGAGATTGGAGAGGAGAGGGTTTTGTAGATTCCATGCTACCAGAAGAGCAAAACCCAGGAACCTTCTATCATTTGTCAGGCAAGGAACCATTTATCTTTGTGGAGAACCACTCCAATGAAGGAGTAGAAATAAGTATGAAAAAAAGGTTAGGAACAATTCATAGCTTGGACATAAATCTAGAACCAGGAACAGTTCCAAAGAGATCTAAAGTGAGACCGTTGAACCCAGATCAGAAGAGAAACTTAAAGGATCAAATAGATGAGTGAATAGAGCAAGGTGTCATTGGTGCCTGTAAAGAAGACAGATGAAAGGACATTTAGAGCCTGAGATTTAGTCCTGTTTGATTGCTATAAAGAATAGACCTGGAAAGATATGTCTCGAGTAAATTATTATGGAGTAAGGTATTTGCTACAGGTCTCCTATTCAAAGATTTTTTAAAAAATTCAAATTATAATTTTTTTACGTTTTATTCGACAGAATAGAATAAATTGCACATTTCAATGATAGACTTGAGAATTTTTAAAACTAAAAGAAAAAAAGATTTAAATTTGTTTGAAAATCTTTTGAATTTTTTAAAAAACATTTTGAGTACATTTTGACGGCTAAAACGGAATTATATAGTAAAATGTTTCAACGATGACTCATCAATTTATGGACATTGTGCATACAGGTCACACATTGTAGTAAAATAAAACAACGTTTAGTGGGTGAAAATGCAATTAATATCATTGGAAATGGGACTGAGCACATTTTCGAATATTATGCTTAACGTTAAAGGTTAAAATGGCATTTTAGAGAAAAATAATTCATCAACGACCCCCCCCCTCATTTATGGATATTGTACCTACTAGAAGCACTTTTCAGCACATATAGTAGGCTAAAACGCCTAAAACAACTTTTTTCAGAGACACCCTGTAGATTTTTATATTTTATTGCTGATATTTTACTGAACTGCCCCTCTCAGACATCATTTAACTAAAACAGAGAAAATAATAAGTTAAAATTATTTTGAACTATTCACTCCTTCAGGAAGCATTTTCAAAGGTTCAAAGATTCAAAGTGTACAATTTTCATTGAAAGGGGCGACTAGAAATTACATTTTACTGAACACCCCACTACCATACATAGCATCCTTTAGGACGAGTATTCAATAGCTTAAAGATCCAGAATGCACCATAATTATCAAAAGGGGCAACTAGAAACTAGAAATTCTTGGACTTCATATAACAAAAACCCCCCAAAAAAGTAAACCAAGTAAGTAATACCATTGCTTAGGAAGTGTCTTCAATAGCTTAAAGATCCAACATGCACTATTTTTAACAAAAGAGGCCCCTAGAAACCCAACTTCACTTAACACCCCCCTCTTGGATAACATTTGTCAAAAGCAAAAAAATAATTACCTTTAATAAGTTTTAACCATACCATCATTGTGAAATGTCTTCAATAGCCTATTGATCCAAAATTAAGCATTTTGTATCGAAATGGGCGCCTAGAAATTCAATTTCACTGAACACACTCCTCTTGGATTTCATTTGACAAAAACAATAAAAATAATAAGTTTTAATTATTATAAACCATACCAATTTAATTATTTCTAATTATTTATTTTATACTATTAAAGACATTGAATGAAGGATTGTATGATTTAAAGTAAATTAAAAAAACAATTTGTTTTTGACAAATGAAATCCAAGTGGGGAGTGTTCAGTGAAATTGACTTTCCAGGCGCCTCTTTTGATGAAAATGGCGCATTTTGTATCTTTAAGCAATTGAAGAAACTTCTCGATTACAGGATTGTATGGTTTTATAAAAATGAAAATTAGCATTTTCTTTGTTTTTGACAAGTAAAATCCAAAAAGGGGGTGTTAAGTGATATTTTTCTCCTTGATGTTCCTGACAAAGTCTAAAAGAAATCGTTCCAAAGAAATATTAAATAGTTCAGTAATTTAATTTGCCTTTCCTTATTTGGTTTGGCATTAATTAATTAATTAATGTTTTTTCTTCATTTTCAAAAGTCTGATGGGTATCAAACGGCCCCCCTGACGGTTGGCTTTAAAGCCCCTGAACCACATAGGGCTCATTCTGCAAACTGAATCTGTCCTTGTTAGGCTTTTTAGTCCTGGACTAATATTCTGACAGATTTAAGATATATCGGTAATAAAATATATATATAAAAATACCAGTTTTGGGGCACTCGCACACCTTTCTACGTCCCTGATGAAAAATAAAAGAATTTGAAAATTATTCCTGTCCCTTATGGATTGAAAGAATATATTTATTTCTATTATTACAAACTCCAGGAGACATTAAAAAATTTAAAAATATTTAGAAAGGTTTAAACAATTCTTTCCCTTATATTAATTACTTTCCATTTTTATTATATACAATATACATCCATACTTTACTATTTTTAATTTTACACTAATCTATATACCGTTTTAAAGTTTTATCTCATATTTTGAAGAATCATATTTTACCTGGAGGACATCATATGTCCAACATGATTTATTTCTCCACTCTTAGTCTCAGCTGCATATGTTTTCAATATGTTTCCATGCCGTTCATGTGTTACTTGTGTATGTAAGAATGTACATCCTCCTCCATTTCTACAGTAACCCTGTATGTAAAATTTACAGGGTTTACTCATTTTCTGAAAATATTAAATTATTACATTTTTACAGTCAACGTACCTTGTAAGCATTTAAACTCACTGTTACAAATGTTATACATTTAAACTCACTGTTACAAATGTTATAATTTCCTTATCAGTCTTAAGTTTATTTATGGAACAACTCCCATTGATTCCACTGAACTGTTTGTAAGTTGTTAAGCTTTTCAGGGTACTTAAAATTATTTAAAATTTTAGCTTAATTTTTACCAAGTCATGTATCTACTATTAATATTTCTATATTCTATTCCAAACTCTACAGCTGACTGGTTTTCAAGGGTTCCTCTAAAGAATGACTGGTTTCTACAAATATTGGAATAGTGTGGGAGTACTCTTAAATCCCTGATCTTTGACAATCACTGGCGCTATATTGTCTGAATACAAGGGAACCTTCCTTTGTTTAGAGAACCTGGAATTGATTTCATATAAATGACTCACGGACAAAGGATTATTGCAGATACTTCAACTGTGTGGGAGTAAACTTAGATCCTAATCATCCTTCCATTATATCTGCTTCATTCAGGTTTACACCTACCAGATATCTTCTCTTCTTTATCCATGGTTATCCTGAAGTAATAACATATTTATTTATTTATTTATTACAAAGAGCACTATATTTTTGGCACCCATTCTTTTTAATGTAAAATTTTGTTTCTACCATGTGCTGTGCATTGTGCAATGACAAGTAAGATCAAAAATTATTTGCAAGAAATTTAAACAAAAAGTTCTCCATTTCTTAGGTGTTAAGCATTATTCAAAAATCCTCAAGGTTGCTTTCGCAAATTTTTCACAAATTTTTTTCCTCATATTTGCTTGGGTATTACGCAAATTTTTCACAAATTTTTTTCCTCATGTTTGCTTGGGTATTACACAAATTTTTTGTTGCAGAATTCCACATTTAGCGCAAAAATTGATTTTGCGGAAACAAGCATGAATGATATTGAATTCCAAGAAAAAAATTCCGTGATAAACTAAAGTTGAAGCTGTAACAAAATTTTGCTAAACAACTTTTACTACGAGGAAATCTGAGGAAATCTCTGTTTTAATGAAGTTTTTACTCAGATTTGCGTAAAGGGGAGGGTACACTTTTCCCATTTGAATACATTTTGGACTCCTGTCTTCATTTTTTGAGGAATCTGAATGAAATTTTGCGTATGGGCATAATTTATGTTTGTTTTAAGTAAAATAAAAAAAATATGGAAAAAAATATTTTTTCCCTCTTTTTCCACATTTCTCCACGTTTTTAAAGCTTTTTCACCAAAAAGTCTGAGTCAAATACCAACTAGGTGCTTTAAACACCTGCTTGTTAGTCAAGAATCTCATTACTAACATCAGCACAAAGTTTAAGGTTTTTCAGATCCTTTCCCCCCCCTATTTTCCCCTTATTTTATCATATTTTCTCACTTTGATAATGTTTTCAGATTTTCTGGATTCATGGATTCATTTTTCTAAGAATCTGAATGATATTTTGCATATAGGCATCATTTGTATTTGTTTTAAGTAAACCAAAAATAAAAAAGTGGAAAAAAATATTTTTTTCCCCTTTTTCCACATTTTTCCATGTTTTTTAAAGCCTTTTCACCAAAAAGTCTGAGTCAAATACCAGCTAGGTGCTTTAAACACCTGCTTGTTAGTCAAGAATCTCATTACTAACATCAGAACGAAGTTTAAGGTTTTTCAGATCCTTTTTCCCCCTATTTTCCCTATAAATGTAGCGNCAAAAATTCAATTTTTTTTGCCTTAATTGGATTATATATTTTTAAAACAAAATAAAAAAGGGGGTATTTTCAATCCAGTCAATCAATCAATCATTTATTCAATCGCTCAATCAATCAATCAATCAAGCTATATTTAATATTTCTCTTTACTTTCCACCATTTACCTGAACCTCTCCCCCACCACTTCTGTAATAAAGGTAAGTAACTAAACTACTTTTATAAACAGTGATGTAATTAACTGAAGAAATTCATTTAAAAACATATTTTATCATATTTCCCCAGTTTGTTAATAGTTTTCACATTTTTTTTGCTTTTTTAAATGAATTTCTTCAGTTAATTTATGAATCGAGAAAATCTGAAATATGGAAAAATGTGGAAAAAGGGGAAAAAATAGAAGGAAAAGAAATCTGAAAAACCTGAAACTTTTTTCTGATGTTAGGAATGAGATTCTTGACTAACAAGCCGGTGTTTAAAGCACCTAGTTGGTATTTGACTCAGCCTTTTTGGTGAAAAGGCTTTAAAAAACATGGAAAAATGTAGAAAAAGGGGAAAAACATAATTTTTTCCACTTTTTTTATTTTTGTTTACTTAAAACAAACACAAATGATGCCTATATGCAAAATATCATTCAGATTCTTAGAAAAATGAATCCATGAATCCAGAAAATCTGAAACATTATCAAAGTGGGAAAATATGATAAAATAAGCGGAAAATAGGGGGGGGAAAAGGATCTGAAAAACCTTAAACTTCGTTCTGATGTTAGTAATGAGATTCTTGACTAACAAGTAGGTGTTTAAAGCACCTAGCTGGTATTTGACTCAGACTTTTTGGTGAAAAAGCTTTAAAAAACATGGAAAAATGTGGAAAAAATTATTTTTTCCATATTTTTTTTTTATTTTACTTAAAACAAACACAAATTATGCCCATATGCAAAATTTCATTTAGATTCCTCAAAAAATGAAGACAGGAGTCCAAAATGTATTCAAATGGGAAAAGTGTACCCTCCCCTTTGAACATGTTTTTACACACATTTTTAAATTAAATCATTTTTCTTGTGGAATTATGTCGTTTATTTTGCGGAATTTGCACAATTTTAATTGCAGTATTCCGCACAAAATAAGGAAATTTGCGCGTTTTCTCTACAACTGGAATGCACAAAAATGCAGAATTTGCGGCAGAACAAAAAATATTCATGCATAATTCGGAATGTTATCAAAACGTTTTTTCTATTTTACTGAAAACAATACTTCCAGCATGATATTAAAATTTAACAAATAAGGAAAATACTTTAAAATAAAACTTACGTAACTATGCGATCTGGGAAATGGTATAATGCTGTACACACATTTATTATTTAACCAGTTGAATCATTTTTATCTGAAATAAAAAATCGTTTGTTTTAAATAAAATTATAGTTTAAAAAATTTACAAAGCATTTATTTTTTGTGTTAATCTAATATTAAAACATTTTCAATGTAAAGGATATATGATGGAGCCGAAAACATATTAAAAAACTATAAATTTGAGATTCTAATGTGACTGTATTCAGACAGATTTTTTTTAGTTGTATTTGTATCCCTTATATTCAGGAATCTGAGTGTACTTCCACAAAGCTTAAGTATCTGCAGCAGTCCTTTATCTGTAAGATGATAACATCAGTTTATCTTCAAGTACTCTAAACAAGGCAGGGTTCCCTTGTATTCAGACAAATACTCTCCAGGAATATTTGTTCCTGCTATATCCAGGGATCTAAGTGTACTTTCACAAAGCTGTAGTATCTGCAGTAATCCTTTATTTGTGAGTTGTTCACAGTCTCGCATGTTCAGGTTCTCTAAACAAGGCAGGGTTCCCTTGTATTCAGAAAGATTCTCTCCAGTTATTTTTGTTCCTGATATATATAGGGATCTAAGTGTACTTCCACAACTCTGAAGTATTTGCAGCAATCCTTTGTTTGTGAGTTGTTTACAGCAACTCATGTTCAGGTTCTCTAAACAAGGCAGGGTTCCCTTGCATTCAGACAGATTTTCTCCAGTTATATTTGTTCCATATATATCCAGGGATCTAAGTGTACTTCCACAAAGTTGAAGTATCTGCAGTAGTCCTTTATCTGTGAGTTGTTCACAGACCATCATGGTCAGGTTCTCTAAACAAGGCAGGGTTCCCTTGTATTCAGACATATTCTCTCCAGTTATTTTTGTTCCTGATATATCCAGGGATCTAAGTGTACTTCTATAAAGCTGAAGTATCTGCAGTAGTCCTTTATCTGTGAGTTGTTTACAGAATCTCATGTTCAGGTTCTCTAAACAAGGCAGGGTTCCCTTGTATTCAGACAGATTCTCTCCAGTTACATTTGTTACTGATATATCCAGGGATCTAAGTGAACTTCCACAAAGCTGAAGTATTTGTAGTAATCCTTTGTTTGTGAGTTGTTTACAGAATCTCATGTTCAGGTTCTCTAAACAAGGCAGGGTTCCCTTGTATTTAATCAATATTTCACCAGTAATACTTGATTTTTCCAAGGTCAAAGATTTAAGCGTACTCCCACACTGTTCCAATATTTGTAGAAACCAGTCATTAAGAGTTCTATTAAAAGTCAGCTGTAGAGTTTGGAGTTGTTTTGAAATTATGTTGACATTTATTCTAGAAATAAATGCAATGCTTCTTCCTATAATCAAGGTAGACAAGGATGGAAGGGAGAATATTTCATTTAATCCAGTTGATGTCAATTTACTTGTTTCCCAAAATTGTTTTCCAAGTTGAAACATGAGAATTTCAGGATGTTTCTTCACAAGATACTCAACACCATCATCTCCAGCATCTTCTGCTTCAAATCCTGAAAATGTAAAAGAGTAAGTAATTTATTTAGAAAACATAACAAAACAAATACAAAATTAGATGTTTTAGAAGGAGATATTTATAAACATTCAATAACAGAGGTTGTGGGAATGAGCCCCCCAATAGAGTTTCATTTTAAATTAAATGCTGGTGGATTATTTAAATCTTTTAACGATAAACTTAAAGTTAGTTAAAATAAGAATAGTAGATTTTACCAAATATTGAAAATTGGTAAATTAATTGGGGGGGGNAATCTTTTGTTTCTTTTCAAATACAGTGACTGGCCTTTTTACTGTTCTGTAGCCTACCCTATGCATGTTTAGGGTTAAAAACTTTTAATAAAACTTGCAACATTTCAAAACTGGTTTTTTGTTTGGGTTTCAAACTTTGCAATATTTTATCTTATTTTTTTGATGTTTCACGCAATTTCTGAAAAAAAAAATGTAAAAATTGAAGAAAAAACCGTTAAGGATTGTGAAAAAATTTCCGAAAACGCCTTTAATAAAATTAACATAGATAACTAATGGTAACTTTTAAAAAACGGAAAATATGGAAACGAACGTTTCGTTTATACATTTCAAACTAACGGCTACCTGAACACTTTAAGAAAAAGCTAGAAAATATTAGAACGTGCCCAGTCCTAGGCATAAATATAAGATACCTTAAAGGTACATACCACACATTCAATACAATTAACTTGCAAGTACTACTTTATCTTAACTTCAAACAGAACAAGAAAAAAAACATGTTTCTAAAAATCCAATTTTAAATTATTGGCATTTTATACTAGAAATAGTAAAAGACAGTTTTTAATACAAAAAAAAACTCAACTTCTTCCATATATATATACTTTACTTGGAATGTCTGTTTGTTTGTCCGTTTGTGTTCAATAAACGTCAAAACGGCTGAACCAGTCGGACCCCAGGAAAGGTTTATGGATGCTCAAAGTTTCAAAAAGTTGTATCCAAAAGCGTTTAACTTGCATGAACTTTTAAAAACGCACGAAAAAATATTTGAAAATCCGCGAACGTTTTTTCTTTTTGTTTTATACTGTACAAAGAGAAGATGTTCACAGATAGAGCCACAATTAAAAGTTAAATAAAGGATGGGCGGAAAGCGGATTTAAAGCCAAGTATATTTACACTTTGCTCGTCTGTATGTTTGATTGTCTATCTGTTTGTTGAATCCAATAAACGTCAAAACGGCTGAACTGATCAGGCCCATATTTTATGAAGGACCTCACACGACCCCAGGGAAGGTTTATGGATGATTAAAATTTCAAAAATTGTGTCAAAAAGCTTTTGATTTGCGTAAAATGTTAAAAAATGCACAAAAAAAATATATTCTATTAGTTTTTACTTTTTTGTTCTGTACAAAGAGAAGATGTTTACAGATAAAGACACAATTAAAAGCTACACTAGAGAATGGGCACAAAGCGGCCATAAAGCCTAGTTAACTTAAATTTTATGAGATTAAAAAAAAGAGCACAGGTCCAAAAAAAACTTATTCTGAACAGAAAGCTAATTTTTCCTATGTTTTTCACTCTTCAGTTAAAGATTTGAAAAAAGTGTGATAGCTGAGTTCTAGGAGGGGGGGGGGGGGGAGCTAGGGCCCACTTTACAGGTCTAGGTGGGAAACACTGCCCCCTCCTATGTACGCCCTTGGAACTTAAAAACAGGTTAACTATATTTATTTCAATTTATCAATTACCTAAAACTGTTTCAACTTTATCAGCAAACTTGATGAGCTGATCTGTTGTAAATTCGGTAGAAAACCTCCAGTAATGAACCAGTTTATCCCCACACCCTTCAACTCTGTTCTTGAGAGTAGAGGACACTCCCCTCAGCATCTTCTTACTCCTGTAATCCAGGAACTGCAAAATGTATATCACAGAATGTTGAAAGGAGAGAGAATTAGGATAATATTTGTCCATTTTTTTTTAATATTGCTATTATCGATGAATAAACAGAGGTTTAAAGGTTACCATTGCTTATTAGACATGCTAATTTAGAAATAGAAGGATACAGATCCTTTAAGTCCATTAAAGTAAGAAAAGTCTGTACCTGAAGAATATGCTTGATTATATCAGGACACATATTGTCCAGTGTTAGTACACTCATCAGAGGGAGAAGAGAAGTAATCATCTTTCGATTATCTCTGCTTCCTTCTGGTTTACAGCTACTAGCTATCCCCTCTTCTTTATCCATGGTTATCCTGAAGAAATAACAAATACAGTACTGACGATTAGTATAAAGGAAATGTGAATTTTTATATACAGAAAGGGGAAGTTAAGGCACACTGCCCCTTTTTTTTAATGACGTCACAAAATTGATTTTGTTAGGGCATTTATCAATCTAGTACTTCTTTTCCAGGCCACATTTTGATTCAATATTATGTCAAAAAAAACATTATCATGTTTGATTCAGTTTAATAATATGCAAAATCAGAAATAATGGGCTATTTCATGTTAGTGCAATCAGATTCTGTTTTAAAATTCATAAAAATGTCTTTTTGATCAATTTTGGCTGTGTGACATGCCAAATAAAATCATACGTAAATCATGAATTGCGATTAACCCATTGAATGTATGTAGATAGATACCACCAACTCCACAATACCCATATTGTGATTGCTTAACTATGTTATATACAACAGCGCATAACTTGTAATTACGCTGTTTAAGACCCAAATCTAATCATAACTGAAGAAATATACATTAGTTGCAATTGAGACTATGTACTATTTACCGCGAGAGAGTAATCGTTTCCTGTTTTGATAAACAGGTTGAGGATCGTGTCCTCGTTGAGACATTGATAGTTTACAAGATTGTGTCGTAGTTGAGACATTAATAGTTTACGAGATAGTGTCCTAGTTGATGCATTGATATCTCAAAATTGTGTCCTAGTTGAGACATTAGTTTACGAGATTGTGTCCTAGTTGAGGCATTGATAGGTCAAGATCGCACCCAGTGGTAGAGGCTTTGATAGATCACACATTAGTAGTTGTGAGTATTGTGTCCTGGTTGAGATATTGAATAGTAGCATTTTGTTGACTTTGATAGTCAAGAGAATCTGAGTTGTACCGGATAAATACGTATTCTAGAAACCCTTATGGAGTAGGGCATTAACCACAAAAGTGGTGGCAGAAGTAGGATCAAGGAACCCTGATTAGTTGCCTAGAGCTCCAAGGAAGACAAATCAAGTGAGTACCTGGTTTAATGGGGTACTGAGAGAAACAAGACAAGGATATATCTTCGATGACAAGACAGCAACAGCAACATTGGACACTGTAGAATCATTGTACCCTAGGTTACCTTGTGAGGACTATTTAGAAATAGACATGAACATAATGGAAGCCGGAGGAGGGGGAAACCTCCCAACCTCAGAGTTAAAATTCATAATGCAGAGGTTAGAGCAAACAGAGCAAGATAAACGAGCTTTGGAGGCAAAAGTTGGAGCAGTGCAGAGAGACATAGAAGAGGTAAAGACGAAGAAAGAACAGGAATGGTATGTGCAGACATGGAAAACAATGGAAAACCGGAGAGTCAGAATCC